GACAGCCTTGACTTGATGCAGTGGCTCACACTCTCACAAGTCTCTACGCAGAAGACTGGCAAGTTTGGATATCGAACTCATCATCTCAGCTACTCCAAAGGAAGAGATCCCATCACTTAAAAGATAAAAAAAAGACACACACCTTGCAGTAGACAAAACCCTGGCTCAGTTAAGGTGGTTTCACCTTTTTAGATGCAAACTCTGGATAATGATAACCCCTAAATCTTTACTTCTGATAACATTCATTCACAACCACAGCACCTTCATGTCAGGGGCTCTGCAGTGGGCCCAATGAATGATATCTTCGTCCACTGAACAACAGAAGAGAAACACGACAAGTGACTTTGACACATTCCTCAGTGTGTTATGGGCATGGCACTGATTCAAAGGGGTAAAATTTGCATAAGATCCTTGCGCAAGTAATCAACAGGTAAGGAAGCGACCTGATCCAAACAAGGTCTCAGCAATCATTATGATTCGCATGCGATTCCAAGCAATGTTAGAGATATCATCGGCACGGTCAACCAGCTGAGCAAGTTCTCACCGAAACTCGAGGAAATCACTCAGCTGATGAAGGGTTGTTGGTGAAAGAGAATAGATAGCTACAGAAAGCAGCAAAAATACTAAGTCAAGCCTTCACTGGCAGCTTAGTCTTGCTCTCTTTGACAATAACCTGGAGACTGTGCTCTTCATTGTCCAAAGTCTTGGAGCTGTTCTGCTACAGAAAGAGATGTTGCTGGAAAAGCAACCAGTGGCTAACTGCAGAGCTATGGCACCGAGGTATACTCAGACTAAAAAAGAAGCATTGTTCTTAGGCTGGACCTAAGCTCAACATCCAGACCGACAGTGCCACTGCTCAGCTTCAAGAACCAGGAAGAGCTGAGTGCAGAGATTCAGTTTGTGTATAACGCATTCACAGTTCACGATCAGCCATGTTCTAGTGTTAAGACCTGACAATTGCTGACACAACTGATTCCTCTGAGCAGAGAACTCGAGAGGGATCTGACATGACCGAGTCAGTCTACTATGCCTGACAACTCGCAACTGAGTCTCATATGCTTCATATGCATGAAACAGAGATGAAACATGGTAGAAGTTTTTATTGCTGTATGCATCGGTGGATCACAATGTATTCTGTAACCAGAATAAAGTTACTTGTAAGGGAATTCAGGGCATGTTTAGCAAGTGGGAGCGAGCACACAATGTTTACATGGACAAACTTGAATCGGTTTGGAAACCGGTTTACAAATCGCGTCCCGTTTACACGTCCCATTTCTAAGCGGGATTTTTTGTTTGCGCGTGTAAATAGACAAGCGATTTGTAAAGCGGAAATAGAACAGTACGGGTCATTCTGGAGACAGATCGTGCTCTGTAGGCCGTGTACAGCCCAGATCTCTAAGCGTCATGGAACAGCCCACGCTTGCGCAGTTTACAGACGCTGTTATCAACTGCAAGGGGACGGCTTGGCTGCAACTGGTTTATACTGAATTAGCTGGTCTTCGTGGCCTAGGGACACCGAAAAACCTTGGCCACGATGCGCTGGCGGCCGCGTACACCATGAGCCACACCCTTCGGTATGAATCCTCGCTTGTGCTGCGTTCTGTGCTGGATTCCAGCCTGACGCACAAATCACCCGAGACCCCATCCTTCTCCTGAAAGTAGCGGGTGCTTTGGTTGCTGCTGCTAATATGTGTAGGTCGCTTCTCTCTGGGCCCTACAATCGTGCTTTCTTCGCTGGTAGGTTTCTACTTCCTTCTGGAAGACATATAACACCGCCATTCTAGTAAGAGCACAGCAACGAGGCCGTGGGGGAGCCGCGTTTCCTGCTTTCAGCAGACTGCACGATCGTTTGGACTGAAAACTACTCTGATATCTTGGAAAAGTGTCGTGGAGCGTTTGCCACGTGGGCTAAATCGGTTTCCAAACCACCCCCCTACGCTGGCTTAGCTAACCCGGTTCGTAAACCGATTTAGACCGTTTACACGTAAACCGGTTCAAAGTGTCCGTGTAAATGGGGCTAATGACTGTATCTGCACAGGCCAATCAAGCCCGTTTAGAACTTGCACCTCCGAGCCACGAAGATTGGAAAGAAGTACAGCCTCGGTCAGGCACTGAACAATGCAGCGAATGCCGTTGAATGGATGAGAGTTCCCTCGCTGGCTACATCGTGCATTGAGGATGGACCTGTAGGCTTAAGCAGCATGTAAAAATCTTTTCACATAAAAAGAAGTGCGTAATCCTGATGCATGCACAGTAGCACGACGTACGGATGTACATAAATATATAAATAGAAAAATCACGCCATTCGGACCACTAGGTTAACTCTTTTCCTCTCGCCAATGAGTCTTCTAGGAGTGATGTGCTATTTAAAGGGGGAACGGTTTAACTCATTCAATGTGTAACATGGGGTACCTAAGGGTTTACCTTAAAGGTTGGGCAGGCAGGTGGGGCTGGTATAGATACTTTGGTGACCTTACATTTATGCAGCATGTAGTGTACACAAAGAGCCATGAATCACTATCTCTGGTGATGATGCCACATGACACTGACGTCACATAATAATGGCAGAGTTTGATCTATAGCAGCTTCTAGGAAGAGCCTGTAATGGCTAGCAAAGAAATGGGAGGGAGCCTTTCCGCTGCTCCACTCTGTGACATTTGTATATAAAGCCGTGAAGATTATCCACAGTAACCCAATATTGTTATTTATGTGAGCATGGAAAGCTTAGTCTCCATCAATATGCTCAGTTATGTGGGCAAAAAGCCACGTTGAGCGAAGCTAGCCTACCTAGTCGTCTTAATGCAGGAATGTTTCTGTATTATTTAAAGCCCCACTACGAATATGATTGAGCTGGATATGGTCATGAAGCTTAATAAGGTACTCGGCTACAACAGTTTCCTTTTCCTATTGTCTCCCTCAGCAGGCTAACAGCAGGAGTTTTCATTGAACCTTTTAGAGTGGTGTTGCCGGTTTTGTTGCTATGCACCTTTAAGAAGTCGGGCGGATGAACTGTAACACCACCACCTAAAAATGCTTATATCCGACTCCCACACGTGTGCAAAAAAGGCGCGACCACATTATTCAAACAAGGAATATTATAGACACGCAGCAGGCATGCACGTGAAATGGGGGAGAGAGACAGTGCCTGAAAAAAACTGTGGAGGATGGCTGCAAGAACCAGGAACGGCTGAGAGAATAGCTATAGGACTGCCACTTACAAGTTATCAGCAATCGGCGGCGTTTTCTGTGTACCAACTGCGTTCATCGACGAAGTGGCTCCGAATCGAGTTCTGCTGTCTTACTCTTCTAGGGTATCTAGGATCGGCTAGAAGAGAATCAGCAGATAAAGATAATGTGCAATTGAAGTGTGACGACTACACCGACGTGGTGGCGGTCAGAATTGCACCTGTCATGGAGGCCAGAAGCGATAACCAGAAACTACCGTATCTTCCGGAGTATAAGTCGCACGGAGTATAAGTTGCACCCCTACTTTAGGCCTGTCACACTGATTTGTACCATTACTTACTCCGCACATCCGCAACACCACGAGAGGCCGCTCTCAGGGGATCGCGCACGATTACACAGTAGAAACAGAAACACAAGAACATCATTCTGTCTTTCAGCGTAAAGCAGCCATGTAGCTGCGTTGCCTCGTTGCCATACAGCCACCTGTCGCTCCTAGACTGCAGGACGCGAATTGACGGTAATGCCCCCCCCCCCCCCTTTCTCACATCCACAGCATAAGTCGCATGTCGAAAATTTCCAGCACATTTATTGATAAAAAGTGTGACTTATACTCCAGAAAATACAGTACCGAGGCATTGCCGGACTATCCAGCAGTAAGTGTGGGCATAACTCACAAACAAGAAAACCTGCTTGCATTGGATTGAAGCCAATGCATAATGCCGACAGTGAACTATGCAGCATCCTCTTTTTATACTCCGCTCCATACTCGGTCATTTAGCAAACGAGATATCTAGCCCTAACTACAGTGGCTTTACCGCTGATATTCTCACCTTCCACACCATCTAGATTGTAGCAGTGGATATATTGTGCGCAAATAAATATAGCAACAGGTAATAATCGATTTTCCGCCACATAACTTAGTCCATGTAATAATTAAGTGAAGCCTGATCAAGCGCATAAGAGATGTTTTTACAATTTCACCATTTGGCAGCGGGAGCGAGCTAACCTACTGGTCCAAATGGCGTGATATATATATATATATATAATATATATTCATGACAATATGTATGTACGTCTGTATATCGTTCAACTGCACATGCATTTGGATAACGTGCTTCTGAAATTATTTCAAAATCTTTACACAGCGTCTAGATCCTCTCGTCCATTTGGTGGCATTCACAGCGCTCTTCGGTGCCTAACAGAGGCTGTATCTCCTTCCAATCCTCGTGGTTCTAAGGTGCAAGCCTTGCATTTGCCTACTGGTTACAATTTTTTTATTCACCAGGCAACACAATACAAAACACTGCGTGTCATGTATTTACCCAGCAGGTCTTATTTTACCATTAAAACTCTTTAAGGTCTATCATAGTATCCTTGCGCGCATGCATATGACTGCGTTGATTGTCCAATAGACCGCGTGGTGTAAACAATGGTTAGTTTTTACTCCTAAGCAAGCAAGCCTTTCTTCTCTTCTACCTTACTGCTCTATTTCGATTCTTTAGACAGGCAGTGAAAGTCTGTGGTCCATCCCTCAAAGTTAAGTGCAACACGCGCCGTCAGCAGAGTTTGTGTACAGTGTTTGTGTGCTCACCCCCAGGCTATATGACCTTTTGACCTCAAGTGTGTTGATTGTGTGACAGTTTGGCTCTATTGTGCTTCTGGGGGAGAGCCTACTTCGTGTGCGAATGATTTCCAAGGTAGGTTAGCTGCATACCTTATGTCGCCACATGGCAATATAGCCCTACAATTACGGTCAAATGGCAATATGTACCATAAATGGTGAAGGGTGGAATGGTACACTAACACACACTCACCAGCCAGAGTATCCCAGTAATCCACAGCCATCACATACATCTACTTCAAAAATGTCACTTGATATCATCAGCCTTTCCAGCAACAACATACTGGCACCATATCCAATGAGGCAGTCTCGCTCCATTTCCCCCAACCGTAAGCCTCCATCCCTAGAGCGTCCTTCAGTAGGTTGTCGAGTCAGCACTGCCCTTGGACCTTTCGAGCGTGCATGCATTTTATCAAGCACCATGTGCTTCAGTTTTTGGTAAAACACTGGTCCAAAAAATATATAAGCAGTCAAAGGTTCTCCAGTAATTCCAGATGTTAAGTAATCTTTGCCGGCATAATTGAAGCCATGCTTAATCAGATCAGCACTAATATCAACAACACGATCCCCACCAAATGCTGTACCATAGTGGAATTTTCCTTTAAGAACACCTGCTTTGCCAGCTATCAGCTCAATCAGTTTGCCTACTGTCATCCGTGATGGAAAACCATGGGGATTCATGATAATATCGGGACAGATACCAAGATCATTAAATGGCATGTCTTCCTGGCCAAATATCATGCCACACACACCTTTTTGTCCATGGCGACTGCTAAATTTATCTCCTAGTTCTGGTCGACGTGTAAAGCGCAAAAGAACTTTGATTAAGTATGACTCTTCAGAGTTTGAAGTAATAAGCACACGTTCTAAATACGCATCAGTAGAACCTTTGAACGACATTGGAGTATCCTTGTAACTTGGTGGTGAGGCTCCTCGTCCTTGCGTTTGTTGCAATGTTTGAGTGACAAGAGGAACAGACTTGTTTACAAGAACTTGGCGATTCAAAACTCTCTCTCCAGGGCTGCAGATTCCATCCTGATCTAACACTGCATGCTTCCATATAGGCTTGGCAGTTTTTGAATCATAAGATGGACCAAGAATACGATCAAATGTTTGATTGGCATAGCGTTTCAGAGAACAGACCTGCTTCTTGTACACAATACACCTTCCATAACCTCTATCAAGAGAGGCTCTATTCATGATAAGAGCATCCTCGATATCATACCCACTATAGCTCATAACTGCCACTGATGTATTTTGGCCGGCAGGCAACTTATCGAAATTGATGATGTCTATTGTTTTAGTCCTAACCATTGGAATTTGGGGATATACCAAGGAATAAAGAATTGTATCGATACGGTTGAGCTGGTTATATGCAATTATTCCCATTGCCTGTTTACCCATGGCACACTGATATGTGTTTCTTGGGGACTGGTTATGGTGTGGGTATGGCACTAAGCCAGCACACACTCCAAGAATGGTAAACGGCTCTATCTCCAGGTGAGTGGTAGCAGGATTGATGTCTGACTCATAAAGGGCAATATTAGAATCATTTTCTTCATTTACATCCAGGTATTCTACTAAGCCAAGTTTTAAAAATGACTGGAACTCAAGTTTTCCATCTGAGAGCATTCTGATATGTTTATTCGTCACTTGTGGGATACTATCCTTCACAACAACATAGGGGCGACAGACCCTTCCTCCATCTGAAGCAATAAATACACACCGTTGATGATGGTTGGGGTATATTGATATAAATTCACTTATCCTTCCTGCACGTCGCATCACCTTAAACATATAAATGAAATGCTCATGATCTTGTATGACACCCAGCATATTGCCATTCAAGAATACTAAATAAACAGATGGTGAGCATAGCTCTTCGCCTGAGAGGTATTGGACATCCTCTACTCCAAGGTTAAAAGAGAGCCTGTGAATTGGCTTTTCCTCTTGGTCTGTGGTGATATGGGTCATTAGGGCCAGGTTCTTCACAAGACCGCATGCTTCTCCTTCTGGGGTGTCTGACGGGCAGAGCATTCCCCATTGAGATGGCTGCAAAGACCGAGGACCACTAACCTTTCGGGTCTTCTCAAACTGACTTGCTATACGAGTCATATGCCCAAGAATGGAGATATAAGAGAGCCGTGAGAGCACTTGGGTCACTCCAGCCCGGTCCATCTTAAATCGTTTGACAGACCAATTACCAGATGATATAGCATTAACTAAACCATTTGTAATTTGATCTTGACGCATGTGCCGTACAATATCAAACTGAGTGGCCCTCTGCCTTGGAATGGTATGATCAGCTATTCGTTTAAGCTCAGAATTAAATTTCTTAAAAAGATCTTCAAACAGCAAAGAAAGTAACTCTCCCGCAAGTTCAAGTCTTTTGTTGCCATAGTAATCTCGATCATCAATCCCACCTTTTTCCTTCTGGGCTAAAATCACTCTTCTCACCATCAGGGCTAGATAGATGCTTTTCATACGAAAGCTGTGGTTGTGAACAGGAACATGAGCAAGCACAACATTTGTTAGTACATCATAAGCTTCATCATTACGTGGCCTTGGTCTCCCCCAGTTACGACTTACACGTATTTTACTTCCAAGGTACTCAAGTGCTTGCATTTGTGTGAAAACTTTAATACTAGCACATTCTTCTAAAGATGGGGCAAAAGCTGCAAGGATGATATCCTCACTTCCAACAAGCTGAATAATCTCTTGGTCTGAAATAATTCCCATTCCCTTGAAAACGCAAACAATAGGAATTTCATCACTAAACGAATTGTGCTTCAAATAGTACTTTCCGCCCCGAATCATAACATTGGTACGACTTTTTCGCTCATGAGTTGAACTAGTGACAGAACACTCTACTCCCCCTTTTCTAGTAACATCAACTATCATTCGATTCTTAGACAATTGTTCCTGTATTAGAAAAACCTTTTCGGAACCACGTACTACGAAATAACCACCAGGATCAAGTGGACATTCATTAAATTTGGCCATTTCTGAATCGCTTTTACCAGACAAAATACAGTTGGCACTACGTAACATGATAGGCATTCTTCCAATAGGAAGGCCTTTGCGAATGACTCTCTGGTTTCCGCGACTGTACTCAATGTCAACCACAATGGGAGCTGAATAAGTCATATCCCGTAGGCGGCATTCATGTGGAGCTATGGCCTTCGTGACATTAAACGACTCTTCGACATCTGGCTTACCTACTGAAATGTTCAAATATCTTAAATAGAACTGGGGGTCAGTATCACTAGTAACTAACTGATTTGCTTTCATGATCTTTTTTATTTCGGTGTTGATGAAATAGTTAAAAGAGTCTATGTGTTGTTTTACAAGGCCCTTTACCTTTAGAAAGGCAGGCAAAAGCTTCCACTTCTCCTGTAGTGTATTAATAGGTTGTTGAAGCTCATGGTGGTTTGCAGTTAAACAATCAGGAAGCTGCATTGAATCAAACTCCATGCCTAGAGAAATATAAAGAGCAAACTGTAAAGTGATTAAAAATTTGGTGGTTAGAATAATTACACAAGGAATTCACAGTATGAAGTTGCTAATCCAGAACCCAGTTACCCGAACACTCCAATAATCCAAACAGCTGTCCTGTGGGGAAAATGTATTGCACATGCGCAATAGCCATTTTGACCACTGAACTTGGCCATGTGCAATGCCGACAAGAAGCGAACTGCACTAGCTATTGTCTCTGGCGTTTGAATAAGGGAAAAGGAAGGTCCCTACAATATGTTTCACAGAGAAGTCGCTAAAGCTTCCGTTTTTACAAACTCGAACTTTTAACTAAGGCAGGGTTCACAATATGTCACATTGCCCTGCTTTGCCGTGCTGCAATGGGTTCTATTCTCACGACATGGCAAAGCGGCAAGGCGCGACAGGGCAATGCGACATATATTGTAAACTCAAACACCGCCCAGTCCTGAAGTCTTTGATTTAGCGAGCTCATACTGTACAGCAATTCCATCATGAAAGCATTTTGCTAGTGCTGCAGTCTACCCAGTGTTACATTAATTCTGTGTAAAAACATTTAGGTAATGACATTTATTTAGGAACGGTGTGTACATCAAAAGCGAAAAATCCACACACCGTCAAAGTCACTCCTGCTGATTGTGTCACTCGGGATACTGCTGAACATGATAATATTTGTGTTCTGGGCAAGGGACCGGAGCCCATAATATGTAATTCAGCAAACTATATGGGTGTAGTCAAACTCAAAACTCATGCATGCAGTGATCCACAAGAACATTCTACTATGTAGTAGTTAAAAGGATTTCACGTAGTATGGTCTGCAGAGGAGGTCAGATGTCAATTCTGTGAAGTCCTTTACTACGGTAATGTAAGCACAAAGCGCTAGCACAGATAGCTTTATTAACCGGAGTCCTCGAAATAATTAATAATTTCGCCCACGGTCTAACGCCTGGTAGACAAAAAGAATGGTGAAGAGTGCGTATTCTGAAAGAGAAGATCAGCTGTACTTGTAGGATCGAACCCACCACCTCTTGCTTTCCAGGCAAGAGCACTATCTATCACTGTGAGATAGGAGAGCTACATACGGCAGGCAGCATAAATGACCCCTTATCAAACATGACAGAGCACTCTGTCTGCTAAGTGGGCGACATCATAAGTACATGAGTAATGCAAGTGCGCAAGAGCTAGCACGGATAGCTTACTGGGTCACCCGTTTTAGTCGTGCATGCCATTAAATGTTTGGACTTTTCTGTTAAGCCCTGTCGAGCTTGGTAGTTGAGGGAGAGCGGGAGAGCCATACTCTTTCCTGCCAAGGCCAAAGTGATCCAGAAATGTTCAAAACACCACTAAAATACTGCCTCTAACTTGTCAGGTGCCCCACTTATATGCTCTAGCTCAGAAACCATTCCTCAAGGCAATTACTTTATGTGAGATGGGAAGAGATAAAGAGAGGGGAATGTGAAGAAATAGCCCTGTAATCTACAGAAATCAGTGTCAATGTTTTGAGATGCATTCCTCTCATGTTCCATAGAGGACCATTACATAACAAAGTTGCAGAGTTGATTTGCACTCCTATTCTCCCGAGGTAACCTAACAGCAAAAGGAGGAGGGCTAGAATTTCTCTCTGTTTTGTTAGCTGTGGAAGTATTTTGTGTTACATGAACCTGACAATGGTTTTAGCAGGAACTTCGAAACAGCTATGTTGTTTAGAAACCTATAACACAAGGGCCACACTTTCTGAGTTAGAATTTGCTGTCAAGCCTGATACCCCAGGGTACTCATTGGCGAGCGAAGGGAGCCTACCTAGTCGTTACAATGCGGGACATTGCACATACCATAATGTTATACGTTATATCTAAATACACACAAAACGCTTGCAATATTGAATTGCTCGCGCTTGCTTGTGTTACATTCCTGTATTAATTAACCCTCGGCGCGCATGTCGACTGGCAGGTCGTAGTCTCTGCGCATTCTACGGAGAGAGGCGCGTTTTGTCTTTCTCCTTGTCGAGGCCTACTTTCACTTGTCTCGATTGGATTTTATGTATTTCCCTGTTGTGCTGTTGTGTGCCTATTAACCTACCTAACCTACATCTCGGAGAAGAGAAAAATGGATGCGCTGGTCTGTATTGGCGTGGACCCTGATCTCCCAAGGGACACGCTGGTCTCGGCTCTCCTACGGTTGTGTACGGAAGACGACCTGAGAGGTATGAGAGTAAAACTTTTCGAAACTGCGTTGGATAACGGGTTAGCGCATCCTAAAAATATCCTTGTGAAACGTCTGAAGAGGGCTGTTGGTCCGACATTGGCAACGAAGTATGCAGCCGATATTGCAGATCTCTGTTACACGATAAGAAATGAACAACTTGTCCCACGGACTCTGTTAAAGAACGGCAAGCGCTCAGCTGCAGCTTACTTAGCCTCAAGATCAAGGAACTCTCCTAATTATCAATCACCCCATAAAACCGTTGAATCTATTAACAGCCCTCCTCAACCTATTACACCTATTGATGGTGACAAGCCTTCTGACAGTCGTAGTTCCGAATCACTCTGTTGCACTGAGAACAATAGAGCCATCGCCTCTTTGACGCGAGAGCTAGGCAGTCTGAGGCACGATGTCACCCAACTCAAGTCAGATATTGTGAGTCTAAAGAGTACCTCGAACAATGAGACCTGTCTTATTTATGTGAGATTGAAGAATCTTGAGACAGATGATGTGCACGAATCGCTTCTAAATGCGATACTGCATTGTCCAATTGTTTGCTACTCCATTATTCGTAAGGTATCACTACGAGTAAGAATTCAAAAACACCACCTTCACTCTGCGTTGTCATCAACTGATACACGCCTGGACATCGTCAGATTATGGAGACCTAATAATGCCACTACTGCTCCCAGCTCTTCTTCCTCCAATCCAATAGAGAACGGGACACCCTGTCACCCAGCCTCGGCTGAGAACCCCTTCCCTACCACTCTTAATCTTACCACCTGGAATTGTCGAGGCCTTGGCAGTGGGGAACCCTACATACACCAACTGGCTGAAAGTGGGTGTGACATCATTGCAGTAAGTGAGCACTGGCTCTGGCCCTTTGAGGCAGATCGTCTACGCAACATCCACCCGGCCTTTACAGCTGAAATAAAGATCGATGAAAGGCTTACAGAGAATTCAACCCTCAGAAGAGGCTGCGGGGGAGTTGGGTTGATGTGGAGAAAGGAAATCAATGCAACGGCTATCTCTTCAATATCCAGTGATCGCATTTGTGGTCTCCGTGTGAAGTCACCTCACCCCAGTGCTGCTGATATCACCATTATTGGAGTGTACCTGCCTTGTTCAGATATGGGCATGGAACGTTACACGGAGCACCTTATAGAACTAGAAAGAGTTATATCTGAACATCAGAATTATGGTCCGGTGGTAATCATGGGTGATTTCAATGCCCATCTAGGCGTTCTGGGTGGTGTGAGAGGTATTGGCGAGCCTAACCAACAGGGGATACTCCTCCACCAGCTCATCACTCGCTGCAATCTTTACGCTGTGTCACTCTCATCCCTCTCCCAAGGCCCTCAGTATACATTTCAGAATAGCTCGTCACAAACCACAGTTGACTACATACTTGTCAGCCACGATACAACAGAATACATGCTGCAGTGTTTCACACATGACCCCGCTCCTCTGAACAATTCAGACCACCTCCCAATCACAGCTACGTTACAGTTTTCACATTCTACAGCCATCCCTCAGGAGCAGTTGACCAAAAATAGAATACATTGGGCCAAGGCTCTCAAAGGCACACATCTGCGTGGCTATCAGAAGAGTGTCTCATCTTTTGTGGCCCCTCTCATCGGTCGATCGTATAGCTCTGCTGAGGAGATAAACGACGAAATAACTAACATATCAGAGAAAATTTGCTCGGCCGCTCTACAGTCTCTTCCACTGCGCAAGAGCTCAGTGAAGGAAAAGAAATGGTATAAAGATCAGACTCTTTCTCGTCTTGCTTCTGCAAAGAAAGCAGCCTGGGACAAGTGGTCTGCAAATGGTCGCCCAAAGGAGGGCCCCCTCTATGATGCAAAAATAAAAACAAGAGCTGAATTCAGAAAGAGGATGAGAGTCTGCGCTGCCAATAGTGAAAGGAAGAGAATTCAACGTTTTGATGATAAATTCAAACAGAAGTCTTCAAGTCGGTTTAGGATTCCTTCAACAAAAACACGTCAAAGTCCATCACTGCGTATCAACCAAGAAGTGGCTACAGACCCAAAAACCATCCTGGCAGCATGGGAAGATCATTTTCGGGCAATTAGTTCTACCAACACAGAGCTCTCTTCGGTCATGTGCTCCTCAGAACAAGAGATCAATAAGATGATGCACGACTCCTGCAATAATGAAGACTCCCTGCTAGATGTCCCTTTCGTGTCTGAGGAGGTCAATAGTGTCTTGAAGAAGTTGAAACTTGGTAAGGCCGCCGGACACGACGGGGTGCAGGCAGAACATCTAAAATATGGGGGTCCAATTCTTCGAGACTGGATTCTGCAAATTTGTAACGCAATCACGGAACTGGAACATGTACCTGACTCCCTCAAAATTGGAATCATAATACCGTTGTATAAAGGAGGAGGTAAGGATCCTCTCGATACACACAGTTACCGAGGAGTCACGCTTACATCAGTGCTTGCCAAGGTTTTGGAGTCACTCATACTAACACGGCTGCAGTGTCATTTCTCAGAGAAAGGTATACCTCATCTCAATCAGACAGCCTACCGCAAAGGTGTCTCCTGTGCAGAAGCTATATTCTCAACGTTGGAGGTACTATCCATTTACTCACAACGCTGTGAAAAAGTGTACATGTGTTTCTACGACCTGCAAAAGGCGTTCGACTCCGTCCATTACTCCGTTCTCCTAAAACGCCTGTATGAGGCTGGCATTGACGGCAGGGCTTGGAGGTTGCTGCGAAGCTGGTATTCGTCTCCAAAGAGCATGGTGAGGGTCGATGGC